ATGAGGAAAACATAAAAAAAATATTGGATCTGATAGGATGTAAAAATCACGTGAAATAATGATATTTATATAAGTTATATGAAAAGAAAATACATAATATTATGATTTATGACAAAAAATGAAAAATGAAAAATATTCAGAACAAATAGTAAGTAACTGTAAGTCTTTCCAAACAAAAATAATGTAAATTACTGATGACTGTCATATAAAAGGTATCGTGTACATAATGTCCATAATATCTTAAATTAATATTATTATTATGCCTGTCTTATTACAATTTTAAAATGCGAAATAATTTTATGATACTGAAATAATAGAATACATTATAGATTATAGATTATGATGTAAATATTATATATCTTTTAATTTTAGTTAGCATACATTATCATTAAATTAGTTGTAAAAGACATTTAAAAAAAAAATATATTAAAATTATAATATGTTGGAATATCTCTGGTAAACCATAGTTTATTTCTTTGGAGTTATGGTATTAAAATCTGTTAAGCGTGAAATTATGTTCTTACCTTTTCATAGATCTGTCAATATTTTTAAAGTTTGATAAAAACGGATTTTCAAACTCCAGAAAAAATCGCACAGTGAATGTTCAGATTGAATTAGTGGGGACTTCTCATACGTTAAACCAATTTTCCGAGTTATCTTCAAAATTGATTTCATATCCGATATCCACTATTGGTTTTATCCAACAGTTTTAGATTTCGATGAATTGAAAATTACATTTATTTTTAACTATTTTACAATGCTTTTACGACGAAAAATTATTTTGGTACTATTTATTTATTTATCTACTCAATAGAAATACAATATTCAATCATTTCCTAATTTATTTGATTTTTTCCTACGTTAATGGATTTCTCCATTCGATAGATATTTGCTTTTTTTTGAAATAAAAGCAATATTATACTTGTTATGAATTAAGATTAATCTTTGACTTTTGTTCAAAATAAGAATGTTAGTTCTAGAGATTTAAGTCATTAACCCTACATTTGAGCACATATCTATGTAATCAATATAACTGGGCAAACTTGAAACTGTATATTTGGTAGTATTCCAAATGAAAAAAAAAGGAGGAAAAAATGTACCTAATACTTAAAGCGTCTGTTCGCGCCGAGACTGGCGTCTTATCCGTTATTTATGAACGACAGCACTAAGAAGAAACTGTTTTATTGCTATGACCCCGTTCCATTTCAGGGACTTTATTCCTCTCCTCGCCATATACAGGTTAGGTTGGTTCGCAAAAGTTCTCCAGACCGTGTGTCTTTTACTATTTTGGTGAAGTAAAAATGTAATCGTGTAAAAGCAAATTAATTGAGTTCAAAATCCAAAACCTTGGAGGCCGGGAAGGTATTTGGGGAAACTATTTTTTTTCTATTGCACGTAATGAATTTAAATTTATGATTTGTTGTGCAATAACTTTAAGTAATCCTAAACACAAAGGCGTTATGAATGTATACCATAGAAAAAATATTGTATGACTCGTATATATACATTCATTTTTGAATGAAAGAATAATGATAATAATAATGATTTCTCTACTACCTAATTAAAAATATACGCGTAATTGTAGAATTCAATGTGTCTACCTACATAACATATAAAAAAAGTATTAATTGGTACCTTCTTATAAGGTTTTATTTAGGTACATTTATTTTACTCGGAAAAACGTACACAAGTTTTTTTTTGGAAGAACAAATTTCATTTTTATATTACCGTATACTGTATAGAATAAAATGTGATAGTAATTCGAAATATTTTATTTTTACTATTTTTACTTACACAATTATTTTGTTGACATACTGTGGAAAGTTGGACGACATTTTACATACATACTCAGGAATATTTTACTTATCGTAGTTATGAAATTAATTTTAAGTCATAATACCTATCAACTGAATTACTGAAGGGAATAATATTGATTATTGAATATTAAAGACTTACAGTTATACATCCTAAATTTTTTAAAATTATTCACATAAACTTTATTGCATATCATAAAAGTTACCAACCATCATAATTTATTAATGTAAACATATATTATTAAATAATGATACAAATAAAATATAAATTTGTGAAAATTCTTATATTTTATATGGGGTTCCTACCTACATGCGTGTTTCAAAAAACATTATTTAAAATAATTCTTTATAGTTCGTTATAAAAGAGAATGCAAAATTTAAAATTCAAATGAACAAATATTGAAATATGTTAATTTATCTATATTATATAATGAAATGTACGTCATTAATTCAAAATTGTTTATTTAAATAATGTGATTGTGTATTTAATTATTACTGTTAAATACATTAAAAACACCATTATTATTGTGCTTTGAAATAAAGTTATCCATATATATAATATATACCTAGGTATATAATATCTAGGTAGTATTATAATTGCTCACAGTAAACCTCGAGAAGCTCAGCTGATACATTTTGAAAGGTGAATAAAAATTAAATTAAGGTCTTTGAGAACCAATAACATAAACCAATACAAAATGCAATGTTCAACATGATTATAATAATTTAGTTATTATGAGCGTAAATGTAACGTTAAAATTAAATTATAATTTCTTCATTCAATCGAGTATTCGAGTTTGTTAGTTATTGATTTTAATATTTACTGAAATTTCGTTCAGCATCACATGATTTAATAATCAATGGGCACGTACGCATTCTGCCGGTACTAGGCCGATTTATTTTAATCCCTCATCCTCAATACCACTGTTTAATGCATTACGTATTATTAAAATGTATTTAGTATCTCCAGCTGCGTGTAGGTACGTTAACATTTTAATAAATATTTCAAATGTGACAGAAAAACTTGTAGATATGATATTTCAGCCAGAATTATCTGTTTACGGACATCAATTTTTTTAGTTTTTTTTCTATAAATATCCATCAAGTTTTATCTGTTGGGCCAAAAAATGTAAAAATTGAATACAAGGCTCTTGATATTATATTGTTACAATAGCAATTGAAAAATATTAAAAATACATGGGTACAATTCTATTTTTTAAGCATTTAAAGATCGAATTTTGACAAAATTTATTAAATTTAAATTGAATTATTATTTTGTAGTTAAACATTTATAAAATGTTCAACTTTTATATCTAAGGATTGAAAATTTAAAACAAGATTCTATGTAAGTAGTGTATTCTGTTACCAAAAAATCTAAAAAATACAGAAGGACAGTTTATTTTTAAAGTCATTTTAAGTTCGAATTTTGACAAGATTACATAATAAAAAACCTAGAATAACTATTTTAGTTATTTTGTTGTGATTGTATAATATTATTCGTGGGTATCTATTCATACTTGAAACTTCTAAAGTATACTATTATCTATGATAATATCGGGGTTTGTTGTTGATGTAAAACGCGTTATAATTACCTAATGGATATTGCGATATGATTAATTTGGAATTTATTATAGGTATCTATTATAGGTAAATTTTTTTTAATACCATAGATATGTACATAATATGTCTTATACCTAGACTGACATACCGTCTCCGCTCAGAATCGTTTTTCTTAAACAATGATATTATATCATTGAATTCATATTTAATACCATCCATTATACAGTGACCCACTTGTAACCTACTGTACAGTAGAGCACCTTTTTAACTTTTTAAGTATACTGAAGAACTATATTTTCAAATACTTATATAAGATATGTATACATTTAAGGATTGTTCTCTAGTGACACCAAATTTTTGGTTCAAATGAGAATCAACCTTTTCTTCTTTTAATGCTCATCAGAAAACTTTCTTAGAACATTTTAATGGACGTATTTTAAATTCAAATTTGAAGCAGTAATATTTGAGTTCCTTAGGTCCATGGTTGTGAGTTTAGAAGGTATAGAGGCCAATAGCCCATTATGATTTAAAAATTAAAGAATTGATAGTCATTTATTAAAAAGTTATAATTTGTAAATATTGATTGAGTATAATAAATACTAGATCCAATATATACTATATAACATCTAAACCTACTTTACATTTGTGTAAACCATTTTTAGGGATTATTATCCTTAGTGTATACATTTTAATAAATCAGATGCGACTAAGTTTAAATTTTGATTTAGAAAAATCAATATTTTCAAAAAATCCTTTGCTTAACAATTTATAGAAAAGAGATTGGTTCTCATATTTTGAAAATATAGTTTGAATCCACTCAGAATGCTCCTTAAATAACATGAAAAATCTAAATAATTTAAAATATGGTCTTTAAGTTTATTTAAGATTTAAAAAAATTAGAATTTGAATACATATTTTATTATTAAAAGAAAAAAATACGGCGAACACGTGCTTGGTGAATCACCCTGTGTATTCAATTTCTCATTAGTTTATCTTTTAACTTGAAAGAAATAATGAGAAATTCATAAAACCACGTCTCTTTGAAACAATAAAGAACTAACTAGACGAATGAGTGTTGGATGATATGTAGAAACATGAAATTCCATTGGTGCATTCCTTCTACCAGACAACTTGTGTAACTCAAAACTTAATAATTTTATAAAGAAATGAAATATAAATTTGATTAAAAACAAAATTTTTCAGGGAATTAAATTAAAAAACCAGATAAAAAACACTGTGTTAATAGCCCATTAGGTCTTATTTCAGTTTATTCACTAATAAATATATTTTACTAAACATTTACTTCTTGTAAAACATACAGGTATATCCGTGTTCTGTGACTATAAACTAATATCAATATTACATATAAGGTACTTTATAATAAACCTAATATAGTGTATAATAACTATATACAGCAAATAGTAGGTACCTACTGTTTGTATAGTATACCCATATATTATTATCATCATCATCATCATCATACAATGGAATGTATACACAGAGTGATGCCGCTAGATTAGGTGGGGCTAGATTAGCATCTAGTTAATTTATGTTTACTAAGATATGTTTTTAGTTTTAAAAAATATCTAAAGAAACGGCATTTTTTCAAACATAATATTTACTTACCCTGCTTTTCTGACAGCTCCTGTGCAATTAAACGAGGCGGCTGCAGTCCCTGTTTGTTTACCCCGGTATGGTGAATTTTGAGTGCTCTCTGCGTCGTCTTCGTCACTGATGGCAGTTGTCAAAGACATACGATCGTCGTCAGATATCTGTAAAAAGCAATTATATTATGAACTAAAATGATTAATGGGTATAGGTACAAAATATGTGTTTTCACTGTAATTGAAAAATTTGGATTGGCAGCTTAGTTAATTTATCCAGAAACACTTCAAGAACCAAAATCACATTTTAAAAAGCAAATAATTTATAGGTGCGCACGAGATAAATTATTCAATCGTATTCTACATACCATTTGTACGTACATGTACATCGTATATAAGATGGATACAAATATATGTTAAGTAGCGACCAAATTAATTAAAATGTTCAATTTATTAATATGATTGATAAATACCACTGCCTACACCGCCCAGATCTGCTTACTCCAATTTAAATTGTTATTTGCATTATAATATAATTTGATCTAAAGTAAAACTGCCTATATTAAACACTTATGAACGAGTTAAATTGAATACAATTAATTTTTACAAATCCTATAAAGAACATTTATACGAATTAAATGTTTACAATACATAATACATACCTACCTAGTATATGCAAATGCAATTGCTGATCGGTTAAGTGAGGTTACCAATATTGAAATATATTTAAAAATGCCAAGCTTAAATTAAGTCTTAATACTCGAAAAGATATTGTAAACGAATAACTGTAATTTAAAGTTAAACAGAATTTAACAGTTTTAAAAAAATATTAAGCAAAGGGTTTCAACAACAATAACATTCCATCAATATTATACAAGAATATTATAATGTATGAAAAAACTTAACAAGTTTTGTTTAGGACATTAATTTATATTATCATCATCATTAATTTTTTTTACCATATTTTATAATTTACTATAAAAAAAAAACATGTATTATAAAATCAATGATATTATATCATTATCATAACTTAAACTTATAAAAATTGTCAGAAAATAATTTTCGAACTTTCAAAATATAATTATTGGATAATAAACAATGACATTATAGACATAGTGTACCTACTGCCTACTAAAACTACATTTTAAGATTTTTAAAAATACAGGAAACAAATAAATAACTAATTTTTAACGTGGAAATATTTTATTGAGCCACTAAAATGTATTTATAATTATATTGAAATTAAAATTATTTTTGAATCTATAAACAAATCTTTTTTTACCTTCTTAAAATACAACATTAGTCAGTTTTCCAGAAAATAAAAAAAATATAAAATTCCAATTTAGTTTGAATGAAAAAATGTCCTGTTTATTGGGTATTATATCGGCTCAAGTTCAAATCAATAAATACTTGAAACTTTTGATATATTTATTTCACCCGAAACTTAGTCTTGGAAAGATATAAAATTAAAAAGCCGGATGAAATACAAAGACACCGGGAGTTAGGCACTCGTCTCGCTTCATTTACTAATTCAATATCGTGTAGTTATATTAAATTTAAAAGCAACGGGATATCATTGTATTCGAAGAAGATTCTGAGAAGAGCTCAGTTAAAATCATTCCTGCAGCTAACATTTCTTCAACATCGTTCAGTATATTTGTTCATACACTTAGAAAAATTACTAAGATAAATCGAAAAATAACCTATTAAAGTCCTTTCTAGACTCATAGTTTCCTATCTATAAACTACTACGAGCAACTCTTTAAGCACTCTTTCTAAAACTGAAAACAGAAAAATTAAATAAAACAAAAATATATAATACTATCGTAAGAAGTAACAGTAAGAACAATACTACTTGAACGATACATCCAAAATTGAAACTAAACGAAACGGCGGTGTCTTATTTTATATGAATAAAATAAAAAATTAATTTCTAATTATATATATTCTAATAATAATATAAATCGGTAATCATACAAATATACAATATTAATATTATTAAATATAATATTATGTTATACAACACTTATGAACGATTATGAAAGTTCTCGGTGTTTTGTTTATATTAATTTCTTATGGAACTAATAATAAAAGATAAATTTTAACTAATTTTTAACTGAAGTAAACTATTGTATTAAATAAAATTCGATGTATTCTTTTTTTTTATTTAGTGATCCTTTATTAATAATTAAAAATTTAGATAACAAATTAATTTTAGTTATTTTGCGTAAAAGGTATATTATTAAGTAAACGACTCCATAATTAATCATTACACCTACATTAAAAATTAAAATATTTTATGAAAGTAGATATTATTTTTTTTGTTATTCTGAGATAATGGATCGTTAAATTTTATGAGTAAAATTACGACCTTTTAGATTCTAAGAAGAATTGTTTTGGGTTTAATAATGATGAGTACTGAGAGTAGGTATTTATTTATTTTTCTGTGTCTGAACTCTAAAGACACTTTTTATAGCAGAAAAACACTTCAATATTCAATATTCAATATTGAGGTTTGTTTCTGGTAGAAAATTGGTTCTAGTTTGTACTTTGAGGGTTGAAAATAATGCATTTCCTGTTATATTCTAAATCATCGAGGTAAAAAAAAAATAATGAAAAACGGGAATATTTCTCAACACCAATATAAGACAAAATTGATTTTTTTTTTATGTAATGCAGAAAGGAATAACCGTAGAGACTTGACATTTTCACCAAATATTCATATTAGCATTTTCTAGACATACAATAATTTTAAAACTATGTTGACTCTTTTTGAGCCACCTATATATTCAATTTGGGTTAGGTGGGGTATGTGCGTGATTGGGGTAACAATTTATATAATAACAGAAGCATATATTGTAGCAGACATAAGTTACAAATGGTATGAAATATTGTTAATAACATGTTTTTATAAATGGCAACACTGTGGTATAAATATTTGATAATGTAGATTTGATTAAACAAATTTCGTTTTTGGTACAAACTTAAGTGATATGACACCATGATTTAAAATATTCAGTAAACAGTTGAAATCAATGTCGAATAATTAACATAATATTTTATCTCTGAAAATTGCAAAAAATGTAGAATTTTTTATATTTTGACGCCATTACCCCAAGTTATGGGGGAAGTGCGTTATTCGATAAATTTTTAAAAATCTAATTTTAAACCAAATGCATTTCTGATACAAAATATGAATTTACTATAACTTATTGAAAAATATGATACTTTTACCGAAATTATAAACCTAGAATTTAAGCTTGAAAAAATAAAACAAGTTTAACTTTTTTTTTTCGCGACGCACCTAATCCTATATAATATTATAGACATTTGAAATATTCTACTTTTTCGATTTATGGGGAGAAACTTTTCTGCAAAAGCATGAAAATGTAACACATGGTTCACTGTCAGTACTCAGTTCTTCTTAACTACGGTCAGTATATTATTATAACATTCAGTGTATTAGTAGTAATTGTTAATAGTATCGTCGATATTGTATTGTATCTAATTATGTATATTATTTGATATTTGTATTTTAAAATTAGGCATGTAATTTAGTTAAGCTTGAACAATTGGTAATTTTTAAACTCTGTAATTTTACTCTGAATGATGTTAACACATAAACGAATAAATAAAATATTTATATAATATTATCGCATCTACAAAATGAAAATTATTTTAATAACAGGTAGGATGCGGTATATCTACTTATTATATTTTTTCAAAACGACAGAATTCTGCATTTCATAAACTGTTATTTATTACGAAATTATACTAGAAATTAAACGCGGATTTAATATACAGCACTCCCAGGCGCCGCGTTTGTATATTATATACTTACAAGAAATACCTATAGACTCACACCGCACTGGTTGTAATAACTAATAACTATATGTACATTGTACATACGTCACCGTGTACACGCGTATATATTAATACCTACCTACAATGTACACTGCATATTATACATAGGTATGTGTCGGTTACGGGGCAGTGTGCTGGAATATATAGGTGAGTTTCCAAGGATTATCGTTTCAACGATTATGTGAGGGTATTAATGCTACATATTATTATATTATTATGTATATACCCTCTCCCCGTGTCCTATATTTAGAACCATTCGGGTACATGTATACGTACATATTATATTATTATTATTATTATTATATGTTTTGTATATTATGTATAGCTGTGTGTTATTTTTAATACTTTTTTTTATCAATTACAATGCAAACTGTCAACATTGTACCGTTATTACCTACCTAACGGTGAGCTGTTTACACACTATCGCGCGCGTCGATGGCGGGACAGTTTCCTATTGTTGTTTCGCAGTCCCGTTGGCACAAATATCTCCAGCACAGAATATATACGGACGAGGGTCAACGAGTGGTCATAATATACGATATATTATAAATTATAATATATAGTATTATAGTACCTATCTATATTTATGGCTATATATTACCTATATAGTTGAACTAGTGTTTTCAAACACCTAAATACCAGGTGTCCGCTGAAACAGGTAACACGTCTTTATAACTCAGACATTCGGTAACTACCTTGTACATATTTTTGACTTATAAAGTCGGTTTGTTTAACATGAATCCCGCAGATTATACTGGGATATCCATATTACATCTTACTTATACAGTTTTTAACTCTTGTATTCTGCTCGAGCGTAACACAAATCATTTTTTAAATGAGAACCTCTATTCTCAGGGTCTTTCTTAAGAAGTAGGTACATTTAAAAAAAATAATTGAAAAAGTGACAAAAATTGTTTTTTTTTTTTAATTTTGAATTCCCTCGTTTAGGTGATTTTTAATGTATAGTACAAGTTGTTACATCTAAATTACTCGAACATTTTTTAATCGTTCTTTATCTTGAGTTTCATTATCCACAAACCGAATTCATAAGTATATATAAGGTTATGTACAGATGGCCTGTAAGGAGTTACACAATGTTCCCAGGACACGGTATATATTATCACGCCCTCGTGTATTCTAGAGAAGCGAGTAAACATTTGTGATCGACGGTCGGACGAAATCGCTATTTTTACCTCCGCCGTCACCGTAGACAGCGAGCTGCAGTGTATATAAATATAATAAAATATATTTCATGTAATATTATATAATATTATACATCACACTGAGCGCCCACACACACCCAC